CGGTGGCCAGGAGCATGCCACTGCACTCCAGTCTGGGCAACAGAGTGAGACTCCAACTTAGAAAAAAAGAAAAAAAAAAAGGGCTAAGCAACATCAAGGCCCCAGTAAGCACAACACAGGCAGCAACAGGCTAAGTTCCTGCACCCGGTGGCTGCCCGCCTGCTGCAGCTCCTCATCGCCAGCTTACAGACCCCAGCCCACAGCTTGTTATTTACTTTCATCTTCTCTCCCTCTCTCGATGCTTTCTGTCCATCCTAACACACCACATCCCCTTGTGCAGCTATCTATTTCAAGCCTATTTTGTTCTAGGTACCATTCTGGGTGCTCTCTGTCTTTCAGATCTCCCAGTCATAATATTTCCCCAGTTTGCTCTCCATTCTTCCTAAACTAAGCAGAAATGAAGTGTCCCTACATTAACATATGAACTCATTCCAAACATCTGAAACCACACCAAAGTAAAAGATATGTATAGACAAAAGCAAACAAAAATCCCCGCAAAACCAAGTTTCTAGTTCTGAAAACAACTTACAAAAAGGACATGAAGGAGGCAGCCAATAGTAACAGAGTAAATGCAAACGAAAAAGAACACAATTAATAAAATGGACAAATGTCTACAGAAAAAGTTCCTTCCTCTGGCTTTGTTAAGTAAACATACCTATGTCAGATAAGGAGAAAGATGCTAATAGATGCCACTCCATTGTTCCTATAAAGGAATGCCAGCAGATCATTTCTATAAAGAGTTACAATCAGAAGGGGCAATAGCCATCACACATTCCCATCTTCAGCAGATCTGAGCACGGTATGGGCTGGATTGAGAAAGCAGCCTCAGGGGCAGCCAGGCCCAACCTCCCATCGTCCAGACGACGAGTCTCCCTCGGTTCCTGGAGCAGAGCCATTCCCCCCCCTCCCCGCCCCCGCTCCTCGTCCCGCCTCCGGCTGACTTCACTCGTCCTTCAGACGCCAGCTCGGAAGCCAGCATCACTTCCCCCAGGAAACAGGCTCTGACATCCCCGGGGCAGGGCCGGGCGTCCCTCCTGGGCGCCCTCTATCACAACACACTTATCACTTCGTATGACAGACGTCTGTCTTCTCCTGAGAGGCAGGAACGCCAATGTGGCCTGGAAATGCCAGAGAAGCTGCTATCAGCAGATCATTAATTACAGAGACTCCAGAAATTGTACCATGTAGAAATCCACTTTTTGGCTGTGCACAACGGCTCACACCTACAATCCCAGCACCCTGGGAGGCGGAGGCAGGAGGGTTACTTGAGCCCAGGAGTTCAAGAAGAGCCTAGGCAACATAGTGAGACTTCACCTCTACCAAAAAAAAGGGGGGGTGTGGTGGAACATGCCTGTTCCAGCTACTTGGGAGGCTGAGGTGGGAGGATTGCTTGAGCCCAGGAGGTCAAGGCAGTGGTGAGCTGTGATTGTGCCACTGCACTGGGAGGAAGGGGGAGGGAGGTAGGGGGAGGGAAAAGAAAGAGAGAGAAGGGGAGGGAAGGAAAGGAGAAAAGGGAGAGAGGGAGGGAGGGAGAAAAGATACAGAAAGAAATCCATGTTTGTAAAATGCAAACTCATAACTATTATCCATGATGGAAACATAACAAAATTAGACAAGATTTATCTATTACCTTCAAGTCCACAGTACATTCCATATCTACCACTTTATTTCATCTTCATCGTAACCTTGAGTAATATTAACCATATTTTACAGATGAGGAAGCTACAACTCAGGTGTGGGCTTTTTTCAGAAACACATATTCATGACAGAGCCAGCCTCAACCCATGTCTTCTAGGTCAGGTGTTTTTTCCATTAACTCCGGCACACCAGGCATTTAAAACCAACTGATGGAAAAGACAAATGAATTCAATAAACTCATTTTCCTTTCCGCCTATGTTTCAATTTTACATTTTTATGCAAAATAAAAGTTCCTAACTTTTAGTCAGACATCCTTTTCCCAGTAGACCAGAAGAATGCCATCTTATGCCTACCAACTTTTAATGTTGGGGGAAAATGCCCTACTTATACTCTACTAAAATTCAACACTTAGAGTTCTTGAGCCCAGTACTGTGCTTGACTCTATGAGGTATACAAAAGCAATACTCAATGACATGGCTGATCTGAAAAGTTCACAATACCCTTGGAGAGCCCAAAATAACACTAACAATGCAAGGCCCAATGCTACAGCATAAACGGAGTGCTTATAAGGCTAAGAAAAGTAGATACCCAATGAGCTTATCAACAGGCAACAACAGGAACTAAGACGGACCTTAGAACACGGTCAGGCGTTGGATAAGTAGATGACAGGGCAAAAGAA